CTGTCTCCGTGCTGTTGTCGCCCTGTTGATGATGTCAGCGACACGGTTTAATCGGGCGCGGCTTAGTCGAGCGCGGTTTTTACGGGTCACGCTTAGATCTGGGGTCCCCAACCCACCGGTCCATGGACTGACACCAGGCCGCACATGCCAGCAACTGAGCCGGACAAGCAAGCAAAGCCACATCCGTGGGATGCAGGCAGCATGCAAAACTACACCCCATCCAGAAATCATGGAACCAGTCCCTGGTGCCCAAGTGGTTGAGGCCACTGCTTGAAACACTGCTATCCCTCCTAGTCCTTCTTTTCATTAGACTAGACATACCCAGTTCCTGTAACCATTCTTCGTATGTTTCAACCTTCAGTCCCCTAATCACCTTTGTTGCTCTTCTCTGCACTCTTTCTAGAGTCTCCACATCTTTTCTACATCGTGGCAACCAAAACTGAATGCAGTATTCCAAGTGTGGCCTTAACCAAGGCATTATAAAGTGGTATTAATGTTTCATGTGATCTTGATTCTATCCCTCTGTTTATGCAGCCTAGAACTGTGTTGGCTTTTTTGGCAGCTGCTGCACATTCCTGGCTCATATTTAAACGGTTGTCCACTAGGACTCCAAGATCCCTCTCACAGCCAGCACTGTCTGAAGACGTCTCCATGATCATATGACCAGCAAGACTAAATGCTGAAAGCACACGGAACGCTGTTACCTTCCCACCAAAGGTGGTTCCTATTTTTCTACTTCCATTTTTTTACATGCTTTCGAACTGCTAGGTTGGCACAAGCTGGGACAAGTAACGGGAGCTCACTCCATTACACAGCGCTAGGGATTTGAACCGCCAAACTGCCAGCCTTTCTGATCGACAAGCTCGATGTCTTAGCCACTGCATCCCATTTGACAAATGCACACTGAGCTCAAAGAAGAGGAACAAATAAAAATTGCTCGGCTTCTTAAAAAAAAATGCTTTTTGAGATGCTGGTTCAGCACCTTATTGCTTTTATTTTTAGCTGTGCAAACAGAGCACCAAAGTCAATTTCCCTCCCATAACAAAACAAAAATGGAAATAATAAACAAAAGCAAACAAAGAGACGTGGAAAAGTGCACCTGGGAATGACTCTCCGTATTCTGTATTTCCAAGCAGAAATGTTTATAGATAAACAAAAACTTTGATTCCGGCCACTGAATCCTACATCTTGCTCACTGTGGGATCCCAAGGAGAGCAAACAGGATTGATGTCTCTGCACCCTTTTGCTTTATGGCACCCAGGAAGGGGACTCCCTGCCTCTCTTGGCCATGCACCCACCCCCTCCTCACCCAGCACTTCTTGCAATTCTAATCCAAGTTTCCCATGCTCTTGAGAATAGAAAAGAGCATATCCAGTTAGGAATAAACCTTTCCCTGCTTGCAAGCTTCATCCCAAGCTCTTGGCATCCCGTTATTTTGCAGCTGGTGTGATGTCCCATATTTTTTAAACGTCTTCGATTCCATACAAAAGAATTTATTTTAGTTTCCCAGTGTTTTGCAATAACAATTTTGGCAACTCTGGGCCAAACTCAAGTCCTTAATTTCTGCTGCTGAAGAATCATCTCAAAGAAACCACTAAGGGTGAGTCCACTTAGAATTCCTGCACTCGGCATTCAAGATTGGGACTTCTTTGAAATTTCTCTTGTCGTTTGAACATGGTGGTGTTGCACAGATTCTTCTTCTTTGGCCTTGAGGTGCTGTAATGGACCCCACCTAGAGTACTGCATCCAGCTTTGGTCACCACACTATTAAAAAGATGTTGAGACTCTAGGAAAAGTGCAGAGAAGAGCAACCAAGATAATTAGGGGACACCTATCCTCCGCGAGCTGCACTGGCTGCCTATTGGTCTCCGGATACGCTTCAAGGCGCTAGTCATCACTTATAA